GTTGGCTTTTTAAGGTCACAGCATTTTCTTGACAAAGTGTTCTGGGATATCAAATTGTAGTGAATTTTTCAATTTATTTCTAAGTGAGTTTTAGTATAGTTTCCCTGCTCAAACTTTGCATGTGGAGCAAAATTAGTGTATTTTGACATAGTGTATATTGTGTCAGAGCTTGAGGATCTCACTTTCCTGGTAGGTCTCAAAAGAATGGGGTCCTTCTTGTAGATCTGGTTATTGTGTTGTGTATAACAGGGTATGTGGGTTCAACCTCTGTGATAGCTCTTCTTAACAATTCTGTATATTGTAAAGAGGCATGGGAGAGATCTAGATTGAGACCCCATCATCGGTGTGGTATCCAAAGTCATTGTGTTAATTGTCTTTGTTTTTGCTGTAGGAGTGGGTCCATGAGTGGGTCCTGAGGAGTCCCCTCTCACCATTCCTTCTTGGGGACTGGTTATTAGTTTGTGGTTTTTGTCTCTTCTATTTTTTGTATTAAAGTATCATTGATGTTTGAGCATGGTTGGTTTGCATGTAGAGCAAAGTGTGCTATTTCTTAACAGCCAAGTCTCTAACCTGTGAACTCATAGTGTCACATTAGATTCTCAGCACCTCACAGAAAAGAAACAAACAACAACAATAGTAATGAACAATATATAGTATTAAAATAAATACACAGTGCCTAATGTAACATTTGCAGGACTAATAACCACAAAAACAGGAATATTCAAGAGCAAGAAGAATAAATAGCTGTGAACTAGATTTGGCATTAAGTTAAACAGCAGGTGTCAACTACATAATCCACAGTACTGATAACCACAACAACATGAAGGGTGAGGGTAGGAGTTATAGAAATCAAATAAAAAAATACAGTTCATTAAGAGAAAAGGAAATGTGATAGAAAGGTAAAAGAAACTTTAGAATGTTCAAAACGAGAACAGAGAGAAAGCAGAAGAGATGTAGCAAGTGATGGCTATAAAGAAGGAGAAAATAAAATAAGTACAGAGAAAGAGATAGAATAAGAGAATATGGCTATGAGAGGGAGAATAAAGCAGAGAAAGAGGGAAAAATCAGATTTTAAAAAGAAAAAACCCCACAAACCCTAATGCTTAAAAGACAAGAGAGAAAAAAAAAGGAAACAAAAATTGCTAATGAGGGGGCTGGGATTGTGGCTCAGTAGTAGAGCGGTTGCCTAGCATGTGTGAGGCACTGGGTTTGATTCTCAGCACGGCATATAAATAAATGAATAAAATAAATGTCCATCAACAATTTAAAAAATGCTAATGAGAAAAAAGGTTTGTGGATATATATATCAAACCAATCACCACAGTGAGAACACACATGCAAAGAAAAAAAAGGGGAAAGAAATTGGAAAAAAATGAAAAAATCATCTCCACTGAAGTGGTCAAAACTGTCAACAAAGATAGATGTTCCATGCCCAACTGTCCTTTCTGTTTCTCCTTGGACTATGTACTGCTTAGAGCAAGTGCTGGGTTGTTAAATCCTTCCTTTTTTTGTGCTGCTCACCCAGCTGCCAGCTAGAGTGGCCTGAAACTGAAGCTAGTTAAAATCACCTTCAACTTCCCTTCTCACCAGTGTAAGATAAGGCAGAATGGGAAGTACTGTGCATTGGAGTTTTGCTGGACAGACCAGATCAATGAGTTCTTGGGTGGGGCTACAGCAGAGTTCTAAATGGGGAGTTCTGGTAGCTAGGGCTTAGCTCAAATCAGGCCTTTGGGGACTTTGTTGGGTGGTATCTTCTCTGGGGAGATTAAATCAAAATATCCCTACGGCCAGGGAGATGCCAATCTCTCTTCTGGGGATCTGGATCTCACGGACTCCCAAGAATTCTACTTGTAGGGAAGGGGAGCCAACCTTCCACAGGTCTTGTTCACTCTATTGCCTACAAATATGGCCTTCCCAGGGTCAATCCCCAAGTGTAATCATGTCCAACTCTTGAATTTCCCAACCCTCTGCAGCTGCTCATGGGAGCTGCCAGACTCAAAAGGAAATCAAGTCACACTTCCCTCCAAATTCATTCCACCAGGTACAATCTTCTCTGCACCTGTTTTAATCTTGATCTACTAGGCACACCCTAGGACACATGGTGGGTGCTTTCTGGGACAGTTTGACAATATTTGCTGTGATCTCCCAGGCTCCTGCAGCAGTGAGCTGAAATGTAGTCTTCTCAAAATGGCTCTCCACCTGAGTCTGAGCTCTCCACTTGCCGGTTGAGAAACGCAGAGCACTTTGTAAACACCAGCTCACTGTGCAGCGTATGGTTCAGCTAAGGTTGGACTTCTTTTCTGTTCTGCCAAATTTGTCCATTGTGTTTCTCTTTCCATTTGTGTTATCCCCCATGCTGCGGTGAATCTGTGACACTGTCACTTTTGCACCTGGCTTGGCTCCCATATACTTTTTCTTGTCCTTTGTTCAATACTTCCAGGTTTCCGGGTTTTTCCGAATCACCGACTGTCCAATATTGAATTTCAGTCAATTTCTTCAATAACCCTCTTCACCGAGAAGCAGTACTCCTATTGCTTGAATCCCAAGTCATGATACAACTGGAAATGCAGCCTTCCTCTAATCCACCATCTGGAATCTCCTGAAACTGATTTCTTGGGACTCCTAACGTCAAGCCCCCTCTGGCTTAGGACTCTGGGAACACCATCACCTTGTTCCTTTAACACTTTTCAGGACAAATGGGAAGACTAGCTAAGCCCTAATTATCTGAAAAAACAATTCCTCTTAGAAACCTGACAGAAGACATGTTGAGGAAGATCTCAATTTTGTTAAGATAGCTTTGTTCGGTATACCCAAAGGTAGCGGATTAGGTATAGTGCATCTTAGGGAAAGTAGATTTTATAAACTGGAAAGTGAGGCACAGGATGGATGAAATCCATCCCTGGTCACAGGTCATATCCAGTAGGTTAGTCTAATTGGTTCAAGAATTTTGCCCATTAAAAATGGATCATGGAAAAAAAAATAAATAAATAAAAATAAAAATGGGTCATGGGTTCACAGAGCATTCCTATGTTCCCTGATCATATGCTTCATCTCTAGGTTTGATCAGCCATTTTTAAAAAGTATGTATTAAGGTAGACAGAAGAAAGAATTCGATGTTATTGTGAAGATCCATCATCACTATTCAAAACGTAATCAAGAACACCCTCCAGTAGCTTTCTGTTTCACTGAGAATAAAATCCAAATCATCAGCAAAGATCTCAGGCCCAATATGACCATGGGGCCCTGTCCATCTCTCCCAACTTACGTCCTCACTGTGTTCCAGCAACATTCCTTGACTCACCAACCCCATTCTCATGTAGGACCTTTGCACTTGTAGCTTCCTCTGTCTTGATGTTAGTCCCCAAAGCTTTGTATGACTACAGAGATCTCAGATCAGAGGCCACCTTCGAAGGCCTTTCTTGACCATTCTAGCAAAAGTAGCACCCCAGTCACTTTCTCTTATATTCTGTTTTCTCTTTATGTCACTGGTCACTATCTGGTATTTTTTTATTTGATTGATTTTAATCAACTCTCTCTCCTTAGTAGAATGTAAGTTCCATGAAGACAGGGTCTTGAGTGTTTCTCCACACCCACAACACCTAGGACAAGGAATGCCTGTTGATTAATTAACATTCTCCTGGTTGGTCAGTAACCACCTTCATTTATATATGAAGGTATTTTTTTTATTGGTGAGACATTTTTTCCTAATATATACATTTATATAAGCAAAAATACATGGTATCTATATTTAATAAAGAGTTCTATTGAAAAACTAGAATTAACAAAATTGGAGCTGTCTATTCTAGAGAATTTGTGGCACGTCATTATCATATATGTGAAATTCAATTTCTAATGACTTGTGTGTTTTTAGCATTAAAATATTTAGTTATCAATGATCACTGATAAGAGAAGGTGCTCACTAGGGCAGGATGGGATTCCTGAGAGAGGAGCTGGGTGCACAGGTGGATTTGTGAGTTCACACATGCCCAGGAACACCCTCAGCTTAGCATGACCTTCATTTTGTAGTCTTTAAGGGCATATGTCTTTAAACTGTAATATACTTGTCAATTACCTGGGGATTTTATTAAAATGCCAATTCTGAGTTGCAGATAGGGCCTGAGATTCTGCATGTTTTATAAGTTTTCACTCAGGTGGCACCTATGAGACTGGCTAGGGCTCACACTTTAAGAAGCAATCTCCAGTTCTGTAAAATTGTCATCTGGGAAACATCCCTCTAGATTAGCTCAGAAAGGAAGTGCTAATCACAGGGGACTCAGTCCCCTGGAGAGAAAAATATAGAGAACTTAATTAAGAAAAAGCAGAAAGGCACTTTCCTGGAAAGAGATGACTCATTTTTTTCTAAATCTGTAATAAACTAAATCTATAAGAACTTAGAATAGAATCCCTTCTGAGTGCTGACTGGTGTGCAGATTTGGGAACTTGTTTAATTCTGATATGGGAATTGTAAATACACACTCCTTTACAAGTCTGAAATTTACAACTCTTGGAACATGGGACAGGAGAAAAGTTTTGTCAATTCTGTGCAGCAGAAGAACTAATATGAATCCATTTCACCCATCAATTATTGTTTTTTCCGGTTTCCCCTTTTAAAAAATTTCCCCTCCTTGCCTCCAACCCTCACCCCTACATGAGGAACTCTAAACTGTCTATGCTAATTGACTTGGCCAGTGATTCACCTGCTGTGACCTTCTCCCACTTGGCTGCGGATCCCATGAGAGGTACACCTGAACTTCTACCTTCCTCCATGTGCTCTAACAGCTTTAGTAAGACTCTGCTATGGGTCTTATTTCATATTATTTGTTATAGTTGTTAACATGCCTATCTCCTCGGGGACCTGGTGGTAGGGGTGGAGTGACTGAAGGGCAGGATTTGGGCATTCCTGGGTCCTTTAGCAACCCTCCAACAGCAATGATTGGACACCATCCGTCATTATTCATAGTAACTTCCTTCCAAGTCCAAAAAAACCTCAAAAAACAAACCTGGCCCTTTTCCTCCAGTTTTTTGTGTTCCTTAAGAAGTTGTTCCACATGCATCACGCTGTCTCCAATGCCCGTAAACTCTGCTAGCTCTTCCAGCAAATTTTCCAGGGCAAGTTTAACCTGCAGGGCACATTAGAACTGTGCAGAAGTAAAACAACAAGCACCCATCTGTAAAGTATAGGTTTGTTATGTTCAAGAAAACCTAAAAAATCTAAAAGGATCAGGACTTGGGTGAATCAATATATGCCTTTCTTCTTTTTTCAGCTTAGTACCTGTCAGGTTAAGCTGGGGATCTAGAGGCACTTGTAGTTAGAATGTTAGAACTACATTCAACAGCTCATCAGTCTAAAAGCAACTTAAACCAACACTGAAATGCCACATATGTCAACAGGAAAATGGGATAATGGGATTCTAGACTGCTGTTACTCCACTGCAAATGTGGGGGTCTATGAAACAGTAAGGATGTAAAGAGGGAGCTGGATTAGGCAAAAGAGGAAATCCCAATCCCAGAGCATCTAAGGGGAAAGAGAAAAATCAAAGGTTTGTATGAAAAATAGAAGTTATATTAAGAAAAAGGAAGTTATATTAAGAAAGAAAACAATACCTTATAAAAATTGTGCTCAAAGCGCTGTAGTTGTAGGCATTGGTTAAGTTTCAGGTGATGCTCAGACCAAAACTGACTAAAGACTTTTTCTGTTTCATCCAATTGAACTAATAGCCTTTTAAGAAATAATGAAAAAGCAACTTTATGTTAGCATTCATTTCTACAGGTGTCTGCATAGGCCTATGTTATGTACCACCTATGTCTTCCATCAATGTTATTAATTGTGACATTCTGTGTATTATTAAAGACTGTGTCACCTGTGTCTTTCTTAGGGTTTAGTGGGTCCCACACGTTCAGACACCTGCAGTACAAGAAGAAACTTAACTCCAGATGCAGCCACCTGAGACTACACATGTGTAAATAACAGCATCAAACCAACATTTTATTGGAAATGAAGCTCAACAAATACCATCATCTCTCTGGAAATCCTGGTATTGGAGCATATCATTAGAGGAGGGAATGGAACTCTCCTAAATATTATTTATTTCACCCTTTAGTCCCAAATATTATTCTTTCTTGGCCTCAATAAGACCCAGTAGTATCTATTCCAGCCTGTTCTTAGTTGTTTTAGAACATCTAGGTCTACATTCTCTCCTGAGAAATCAAAGTCCACCTATTTACTCACCTTTCCATGGTAGCTATATTCTCAAGTTCACTGTGATTGAGTTTTCTGGTGGGATTTTTGGTTGTTGGTTCTTGGATGCATGATAGTAGGGTGGTCCCTTGTTCTCCAAGTAATTTCAGCTCATCCTAGAAAAGCAAAAATATAGACTTTCTTAGAAGGAATCCACAAAAACAAATTCACGGTATTTGGGGGGTGAGGAGAAAGGTAGATCCATATGTTTTTCATTTAGGATGTTAAATGTCAAAGAAGTCAAGATGCAGTCAATTAATTTAAAAATTAATTTATCCTTAATAAGTAGTGCATACTCATGATACGAGATTCAAAATATACAAAAGGGTGTGACATGAAAAGCAATTCTTTTGTCCCCAGCCTATCTACTTTCCCTCTCCAAAAGCAAATATCTATTAAGATTTTTGTGGGGCTGGGGATGTGGCTCAAGTGGTAGTGTGCTCGCCTGGCATGCGTGTGTCCCGGGTTCGATCCTCAGCACCACATACAAACAAAGATGTTGTGTCCGCCAATAACTAAAAAATAAATATAAAATTCTCTCTCTCTCTATTTAAAAAAAAGATTTTTGTGTAGATCTCAAGCTGTTGTTGTACATTAAAAGCAAACCTAGTTAATAAAAATCTGTTTCTAATCCAAGGTAGTGACCAGAAACAAAAAAATAATGGCAGAAATTGAATGTTCAGTGTGACATCTGCCAAACAATAATAATAATACAATAACTGCTAGTGGACCATGAAAGCATTTTATCTGGTCTCATTAGTAAACACTCCCCTCTGCTAACTGTCCCCTAATTGTGGCCTGGTCCAAATCAAGAAGATTATCAGAAATTAGAAGCAATTTCAGTTTGACATGGAAAGATTTGGACTTCCAAGGCAACTACTAATTCTATAATACTCTTTTAACACTGTGCTTTGCAAGCTATTTTTGAAGCTATTTTCTTTCAAATCCAGTAGCTCACAGACCTCACCTTGGAGGTCACCTGTCATTACCACAAACTTTAATCATAAGGTCCAGGCTGAAAGCCAAAAGGAGCATATTCAGCCTGAGAATTTTACTCTTCAGAATTCTGGGTTTAGTTCCTGGGTCACTGGGGCTGGTTTGATAAGCTCTTGAGGATTAGAGGAGGCCCATGATTTTAACTGAAATACTGAAATACTCTTCTGCCTGTGAGCACTGAAACTGTTCTTCTAGGCTAAGCCACCTCTTCACCCTTCACACAGCCTCCAGCTAAGGGAGGAATCTACACCCACCCCCCAACTATGTTCACATAGAATTCCTGGGTCCTCTCAGCCTCATGCCTTTCTTCCTTGCCTCCCATCTCACTCCAGTATTTCCCTTAAAGGGTTACTTTGTCCATACCCAACTTCCAACTTGTCCCTAGATCTGTGTGATGTCTAGACAGCCCCTTGGATTCCCTGACTCTGTCCAATTCAGACAAGGCCCCAAGTCAGCAAATGGCAGTCTCTCCTTCCTGGGGAATTGGATGCATCCCTTCTTTTCCACTCTCAAGTATGGGCCCTCTTTTCTTCTTATCTCATCAATGCTCATTAAATATTTGCAGAGTAGCTAAATTAGTAATAGTCTAAAAGAAGACAGGTTACAAATGAATAAAGATACATCAGATATGATGGGAAAACAGTATTCATGTATACTTGTCCTTCCTTACCCTTTTTTGCCTCCACCCATCGAAGAGGGTCCTGGATTTTCCCACTCAGTTTCTTAACTGAACCTCGGAAAGGATTCTGGTATTATTTTACAGGTGCACACACGCACACACGCACACACACTTTGCAATGCAGATGGGAAGGAAGGTGGTGAGGTTAAAGGAAAAGAGGCATATAGCTTAGTACAGAAGGAGATATGGAGACCCTGGGAGAGGGACTAAAAGGAGAGACACATTCAGAGAGCTGCAGACATGAGGGAAGTATCTGAGACAGGGAAGGTGGATAAGTGATTTCATACCCTGTGTATCACTTTCACACTGTTTAAAACAAAACAAAACAAAACAAAAACCACAGGCAAAAATCATGACCTGGTTACTGCTTTGGGACTAAACCGCATGGTCAGCTTCAGTAAGGTTACAAAAAATCTGCCATAACAAAAGGGAAAGATGGAGCAACTATGGTTCTCAGAAAGGGTAAAGGTGAGGAGCCCAATCCCAAAACAGAGTTTCAGTTTCCATGGAAAGATAATGTCCTTCATCCTTTTGAGTATTTAATTTTTTTACTGCCTGCACTCAGTGTGGATGGAGGAGCTCAGGGCACTGTCTCTGGACCCTGTGTATAAATTCATGCTCCCTTCCAGCGAGTTTCCTTCCTTTGTATCCACCAGTGGCGGCAGAGTGAGTACTGCTTGCAGAGTGAGAGAGCCCACTGCCTGTCCAAGTCGCCTGTACTCAGGAAACGGGAGCCTCCCTGTGGAGAAGGGGCAAGCACAGAGCTGGGCACTGTGCCATGGGCTGAGTCCAGCCTCTAGTTCATCATCCAGCGGAGACAGAGGCAGCGCATGGGCAGTGAGCCAAGCTGTGTGTACTAGTCTCATTCATCAGGAACAGAACCCCTCCCGGGGAAAGCTAAAGCGGTTATGTGCACACGTGCTCTTCCTTCCTGACTCTCAGATGGGAGAGTGAAATCACAGAAAACAGAGTTTCAAATCTTAGCACCAAGCCCAGTGGCCATGATCTCATTGGATAGAAAATTACACATCCTGTACCAAAATTGGAAGCACTCTTGGACTGTAAGGATGAATTAAGAGCCAAATTGCGGTTCACACTGAGGGGGAAGGAATTTATGTTACTAAATAAGAGCCTTCTTTAAAGTCATTGGTTTGTTTAAAAGTTTGATAAGATTGTTCTGCTCTGAATGTTTTCAGATTTTGTTTTTCCTGTGTGAACAGATTAGTTTGATATCCCAGGATAGCCAAAAGAAAGAGACTGCATTAGATGATAGTGTTGAACAAAGTAGTAACAACTCCACAGAGAATTAGCAAATGAGGCTATAAAAACTCTTGAATTCAATAGCTCTAGTATTTTGACTGCTTGTCAAGTGACTGGGTGGTTATGGGGATCTAAGATAAGGGATCTCAAAGATCCCAGGAGAAGGTAAATCAAATAGTCAAGTCAAGTATCCCAATGCCATGCTAGCTGTTTAGAAACTGTTTTAGAAATTTTTCTCTTTAGGGTGAGAGAAAAAAAAATAAATCATACACCATAACTTTTATACATATTAAAACAGATTTAGAAGTTCACTGTTCTGAGGAATTAATCTTACACTATACTGGCTTTTCACTTAGGAAGATGTTTTCTAAATGAAAAAGAACTCATTTAATTTCTTAGAGAATGTTTAGTTAAAAGGTAGGTAAGGGCTAGGGATGTAGCTCAGGGTAGAGCGCTTGCCTAGCATATATGAGGCCCTGGGTTCAATCCCCAGCACGGAGGGAAAAAGAAAAAAAGGTAGAGAGAACACTAAGATGTAAAATAAGATATATGTAAATAACTATAAAAAGCTATTAAGTTATAAATAAAAATTCAAAAAGTATTTCCTTTTTCTAATATAAATCATTTTCTTCTTAATGCATTTTTGGTTGAGAAAGAGGAAAAATATAACTCCAGTTTAATAATTTTGACATTCTTGCTTCTAAGTTATAAGGAGGAAAGAAATAAATTTATATTTGGCCAATAATTAGGCATCACAAAAAGGAAAACCTTCTGTATTATTTTTAAAAGAATATTAATATTACTTGGAAAGACAGAATATTTTAAATCCAAATTCACTTAATATAAATAAAATTGAGAATTTTATCCTCAAATAGTTACAGGTCTTGTCCATGACCTTGGGGCAGCATGGAATAGAAACACAAGCATGATCTTCAGTTTATGCAAGGCTGCATTTATTTTCTTACTAAAAGAAGAATTCAATGGAATCCCCTAAATTCTTTTTAATTGTCTTACAGGTTATATAGAGATATTTAACTGAATTGAAATATGATAATTAGAGTGTAAAATTATTTCTTTACAATTGTCAAATAGCATTCCACATTCTGTGGATCTAAAAAGTTACTCCACGGCATAATCAGAGTTGTGTGTTCTAAGTCTGAAAATAGCTGGTCACCATGCACAGGAAAATGCTCTTCCTCCATCTTGTAGACTGGTTCCTTCCCATTCTGTTACCTCTGTGGAACTCTGCCTGTGTCAAAACTATACAGTGCCTGCTCATCTGACTTTCCCAGAGTATCGCCGCTGCACAGACAGCAGGACTTATCTGATTGGTTTTCACTCCCTAGGTATGTGTCCTTGTATAAAATCCAAACTTTTAAACTTTTTCCCCAGAGCACTGTATGTGCCCTTACTACACCTAACTTGGAAAGGGCTGAACTTTTTTTTTTTTTTTAATTGCTAGGAATTGAACCCAGGGACTCCTGCATACTAAGCAAACACTCTACCACTAAGCTATATCCCTAAACCAAGCTGAATTCTAATCTGTACCCAAAAGTTGCAAAAATGCTTTGCTTAATGGTTGCCTGAGAACTGTCCAAGTGACAGGTTGTCATCTCGGGTGCTTCTGATCCGTAGCTGCTCCTTGGAAGAAGGCTCTGTGCTCTGTGTTCACGACCGCCTGTGCAGAGCTCTGTTTTACAGTTCCTGTCTGGCAGCCTGCCATGCTCAGCATCCTTCCCATTACACTCTGTCCTACTAACTGCTGCTCTGCAGACTCCTAAGGGTCTTAGTCTGTGCATCTGCAAACTCTTTCCTTAGCAGACTTCACCAGGCACTCCCAACCCTGCTTTCTGCAACCTGGACCTCACAGGAATCAGGGGAGGTGAGCTTGGCCAACTACTTGGAACAGAAAAAGGTCAAGCTTTCAGAGGCATTTCCTGGGAAAATCTCCAAGATGCTGTCAGGATTTCAGTTTCATTCCAGATCTTTGGATCATTCGGAGTAGGCTTGGGAATACACTTTGAGCTCTTTCTGGATGACAACTCCCTGAAAGGTGGAGTTCAGCAATGTTCTCTGGAATTAATTTCCCTAAACTACTAGACTCTCAGACTCCCCTAACCAGACTTCATGTTTCTCAAAGTTGCATTTTTGGGTTTTTTCTTGGCCCATAGTGGTGGGTCCTCAATAATTAACACCAAATAAGTGAACAAACCAGCCATCTAGCAAAAAGTTTTGCAATTATTGAGTTACAGATAAGAGTGCAGCAATTTCAAATTTGATGTATCAAAGATTCACACGATGCTAAGGTGTACCAATGCCCAGTCCTTAGTTTGCTGTCTACTGAAAATGGGTCTTCTGATTAATAATGCATTCAGTCTGTTTGTGTTTCCCAAGGCAGAAAGGGCCTGACAGACATGCAGCGAGAAACTCCAGGAGGACTTCTCTTACTGCATAGTCTGAAAAATCTGCCAAACTCCCTTCTCAGCAGGTTCTGACATGCTTTTGGGAATCACTTAATAGGCGTCGCTCCTCCTCCTAAAACCCATTTCAGAGCACCTTCCACAGTCCCTTTTCTCAAATTACTCTTCAAATAAAACAAAACATCCCTGAGAAACTGAAGCACTTCGTCAGTTTATTAGTCCGACCCCAAACTTCACAACAACTGCTGGAAAGCTCAGATTTGGAATCAACTCTCTTTCCTCTCCACCCTGGCAATGCCATGTCATCTTGCTGTGTTCTAAGCAGAGTCATCATAAGAGATCTGCCCTTGGATGGGTGCTTATACACCTCATCTTGCCAGCACAGTGCTGGAAGGGGTTTGTCTTCCCTAGGCTGCTTTCTCTAGATCTCACATTCACCAGCCTCCAGAGATTTTTCTCTTCACATACTGCCTATATGGAAGGTCTCAGATGGACAATGGCTGCCAAGTGACTGGAGAAGAAGCAAAAAGAGTCTTCACTCTAATTCTGCTATGGTGTGTGCCAGGAGCTGGCCTTTGAGAGGCCACTGACTGACTACTCACCTGCAGTTTGTCCTGCTGCCTTGTGTGGGACATGAGAAGGTCTTCAGTGGAGAGCATGCCTCTGGGCAGCTCTGTCATGGCCAGGCAGGACCCAAATGTCTGCAGCATCTGAGCAGTATTCTTCAATGTCAAGGCAAAGTTTTCTATGGCCTGGAAAATCAGACAATTATAATAACATGGAGCAGTTAACATTCACCAATATGCTTTCTCAATGGAACAACACTGAATTAGCTATGTTTTTCTCAGTGCCACATATTGTCCCTGATACTATATTTATCTATCACCTCAATAATATAGAGTTGGAGGCATTTGCTGTACTTTATATGAAACTCCAACAAGTTAATTGAATTGCCCAAAATCATATTACTTGGGCAGGAAGGGAGAAAGGGAGGATACAACCAAGATCAGTGGGTTCAGGGCTCTGTTCATTACTCCAGGGTAATGAACATTAAGTCTGACTCCAGATTTACGCAGGTGCAATGCCACAAAGGGCAGAACCACCCCACCTTCTTTCTTGAAAAAAACCTCACCTTCTCTTCTAAGTCCTTGCAATACCTTCTCTTTTTCCCCATCCCTCCTCCAGCTTCCTGCTGCCTCTGAGAGGCCTGTCAAATCCTGCTGAGAGGATATGAAAATTGGGAGGGGAATGAAGATAGTGATTAAGTCACTAGTGACCTTTTTGAGAGTTATTTCCATCTATGGGATGGATTTGGGACCTCTTCCTGTCCCATCTCTTTTATAAAATTTTCAAGAACTGTGTCACACTCTTCTCTGTACTCCCGGGGTGTGGTACCAGAGGGTGCCCATAAACTGCTATTGAGTTAATGGAAAAAACAAAAAGGTTCTACAGAATTTTCATTTAGGAAGAAATGACCTCTGTTCCTACATTATCAGAGAACTGTTTCTGAAAACCCAAACCCACATCATAAAGCATGTACCAGATCTGACAGGGTCTGTCTCTATGCCAGGGCCTGGGGCTGGAGCTGGCATGATAAAGCTTCCAGAGCACTGCCCACTCCCTCTACTGTCTGGACCCAAAAGGTTCTCTACTTCAGCTGTTTTCATACTTGAAGCATTGCTGTGGGAGGACATTTCCCTGTTAGCACAAGCATTTGAACAGCCACAACTTTGAGCACCGTAGCACTTCTGGCTTAGAAATCCAAACTCTTTTGTAAAAATCTTTCTTTCAACTAGACTAGTTTCATTATATTGAGATAAATATATATATATATATATATATATATATATATATATAGATATAGATATAGATATATCAATCACTCTCTCAATTGTATTCACTAATAGCCTATGATGAATAACAGAGAAAAAAACACTGGGAGGAATAATAAAAAAATAGTAAGATTATGATATATTTTGCTTTATATGCACGATTTCTTCTAATGCATCTTAGTTACCATTATTATCATCCCACATTATATAGATGAGGAAACTAAAGCATGTTGAGAACAATTTCCCAGAAGACATATCAAAAAATACATGGCAGAGGTGGGATTGGAGTCAGATGAGATGTGGCTCCTGAGCTATACTCTTAAGTGCCATATTATCTTACAATTTGGCATTCAAAGCTATATTTAGCAAAATTAGATTTAAAACTAGATCCTCAGAAGATCTCGGCCTTGAGAGTTGAAGATTCGAATCAGAGTTCAGATCCTAATCTTCCCTAATCGTGTTATTTGGATAAGCCATGTGGTGCAGTTGAGTTCCAGAGTCCTCACTTGAAAAATAGGAGAAATGCTTTTTGTTCTGTGGGGATTTTTTTTTTTTTTTTTGGATAAAAAAGGATAGCAACTGTGAAAGGATTTTGGTGACAATAAATACCTTACAACTATGATAATAACAGTGACCACCCTGAATGTCAGGTGTGAGGCCTGCAAATGTCATCCTTGAAACAGAGGAGAGGTCACCTATTAACAAATTAACTTGATTCCATGTTATTCCCTGAATAATCACCTTGGAAATGGGCAGAGGACCTGATTCTAATATGGGAATTAAAAAGAGGTTGGTTTAGTTCTTTTTAGTCATAGTTCTGCCACTACTTGACCATTTGACCTTAGATAAGCTTCTTTTTTACTCTGAAGATCACTTTCCTGTATAATAAAGTGATTGAAGTAAATGATGTTAAGGTTGTTTTGAGTCCTAACCTTTCTATGCGTTTCTCAATAACCTGATATCCAAAAAGCACAAAATAAAGAAGAATCTATATGTTTCAATCATAAGATATACAACAATGTGTATGTGCTTCTATACTATTCTACTAAGTTTTTAACTAGATGTGTGTATATATAAAATTATCTACCTGTGGAAAAGGCATGAACAGAATATCACTGGTCTTCTAATACTTAGTTGCATTTTTTAAAGTTCACTATCATGTGTTTAAGACATGCACAACCACAAACAAGGTGGCTATAAACTAGGTCTAGTGGGGAAGGAAGTGTGTAAATGTCTGCTCATGCCATCTCTAACCACTCTTCATGACCTTGGCCTTCTTAACTAAGTTTTCAAAGACCTATTTTTGTCTCTGAAACAAAAAGGTCAAGGTTTATCTCTTTAAAATGTATTTATCATAAATTTGTCTGACTTGAGGTAACTTGAAAAACATGAATAGCATGATAAAATAAGTATCTGGTAGAGAAATCAGAGCAAAGGGGAGAGCTAGTTAGCCCAATAAGGCTGAGTGAATTCTTTTTGATTATCTAGGAAGTTGAGAAATAAAGCCTAGAAGCACTCCAGGTTCCACCATTTATATGGTCTAGCATATAAAGAGGTCTGCAGCCTAGGAAGACCCCCTCACATCCCCTCATTTATAATACTCTACATTAACTTCCCTGACAACTTTCTTAGTTAGACTTATTTAGAATTATATGCACATCATGAGATTTTCTAGGAGTCACCATTCTTGTGACCAAATTGATGAGAAGTGTAAAAGGTTCTGGCCCAGGTTGAGGGACCTTTCTTCAGGTTTTGGGAAACTTCCTTGGAATTCACAAAGAAGCGAGGAAGGAATTGTAGCTTTGAAAGAAATGCAGTGTTGCTGGAAATCTATTTTTGTTTAATTTCTAAATTTCCTTTTTTTTTTTTAGAAAAAAAATCACAAAACATTATATCTGAAATAAGGTGAATGCACATACCTAATATGTATATGCAGTTCAGGTGTTCACTGATAAATATTGAGCAACATGCTTCCAAAATGACCAGATACAAAGAAAAGTGCTGACATTACAAGCTGTGAAGGGAGGTGAAGGGAGAGTGGGTTTTGCTGAGGAAACCTAATCTTTTCAAGGTTAGGGGTTAGGAGAGTGGGGCAATGGGAAAGAAACTATAGGATCATATTTTCTGGTGACTGTCTTAGCCTGTTTAGGCTGTTATAACAAAAATACCCTAGACTGGGTAATTTATGAACAATAGAAATTTATTTCTCACTGTTCCGGAGGCTTGAAGTCCAAGATCAAAGTGCAAGGAGGTTTGATGTCTGGTGAGGGCCTGTTCTCATAGATGGTACCTTCTCTGGTCTGCACAAGGCATGGGGCAAGGCAGATCCCTTCACCTCTTGTGAAGACTGACAGAATCACTTCCCAAAAGGCCCCACTTCTTAATACTGTCACATTGGGTTTCAACATATGAATTTGGGGCAGGGGACAAGATACCAACATTCAGATCATAGTAATGAGTTTCATTCTCACTTTTTCCTCAATATCACCGAAACTTCTATTTTAGCCCAACAACCACCAATACAAGTAGGAAAAAGTAAAACACTATATATCAGGCACTTTCACAGACCGTATTTTCCCTCCTCCCCCACATCAAACTTCCAGGTAGCTTTTGGCAGTCCAAGGTTTCTCAACATTGGCAGTATTCACATTTGGGGCTGGATAATTTTTTGTGGTAGAGGCCATTTTGCACATTGTAAGATGTTTAGCAGGGTCCCAGGTCCCTAGTCCCTAGATGCCTTAACTACTCGCCACCAAGTTCTGACTACAAAAAATGTCTAAAGACATTGACAAATATCCTCCATGGGATAAAATTACTTCTAACAGAGAACAGCTGTGTTAATCCTTTTTTTTCTTTTCTCTCTTTTGCAGTGCTGGGGATTGAATCTAGGACTTCAAGCTACCTCCCCAGCCTTGTTTATTTTAAAATTTTGAGACAGAGCCTCCGTAAGTTGCCCAGGCTGACCTTGAACCTATACTACTACTGCCTCAGTTTTCTGTGTCTCTGGGATTACACATGTGTGCCACCATGCCTGGTGTTAGTCCCCTTTAAGAGAGGAGGAAACAAGCTTAGAGAGGCTTAGTAACTCCTCAAGTTCAGGCAATAAGTAATTTTGGCAATATTTAAATACAGCTTCTTCTAACTCCCTGGGTTTCAATCTGAACGTACATTGAAATCATCCAGGAAGATTTATGAAATTCTAATGTGTGAGATCCATTCTAGAACAAGTAAAAAAAATAATTCATGAGATATACATAGCAGGGTGTTGGTTTTTTAAAACTCCCAGGTGCACCCCAAGTTAAGACTTCCAAAGCCCCTGCACCAAAAGATACAGGGAGGTTCCGTGGTCAGCATGAAAAAACTCAGCCTTTACCCTTACACCCTAGTTCTTCACCAGTCGGTAGCTGAGAAATCCCAATATTCCCAAGGCCAGGCAGTCACCTGCAGTGATCTCACAACAGCCGATCTTTAATTGCCCTGTCTTCTGGAAAACAAAGAGAGGAAGAAAAGCCCAAACAAGTCAATACTCACAGTGCGATGATTTATCCACTGACTGTGGCGGTATTCCAGAGTTCCCCCTAACTCCTGTGTCAGCTGGCTTTTGTCAATGTAGCCATGAAGGTCAGAAACTGAGTTTAACATGATGATCTGTAGGGGGGAAAAATTATATTTTTCATGGGTCCTCACATAGCTCATATAGATTCTACTTTTAAATAAGACTTTGAACTTGAGTTATTAGGCATTTATATCCAAAGATGGTTACTATATATAGCAGAGAACTATTTTAAAGTCTCTGTACTCCTCCATGGCAGTTCTGACCTCATTATGGTCCTGAAATAGAAATTTGGGGATACAAAGAGAATACTGAGTCTCAAAAGACAAACACTTGGAAACCATTGGAATGCGGAACAAACAACTTGGGAGAGACCAGCCCCTATCCCTTGCATCTGAATCCTTGCCTGCAGCTTGATGATTGGCTGATGAAAAAACAACAAAACCTCCAGCAACCACCAGGCAACTACAGGAACCATTCCTTCAGAGACTATGTGTATTGAAGACTTTGGTGACCAAGAAATGACCCTGGCCTCATTATGACAGTAGGACACACACCCCTGGAGAGTTAAGATTCGAATGAGGCGTGGCATAATTGGAATGTGCAAGGACAGTGCACCAGCACGAGGAAAACTGGCACAAAATTGCACAACTCCACCCTGGCCCCACCTCCTTCAGCCCCCTAGCTACTGTCTCTTTATCAGTATTAAAACCCCAAACCAAGACAATGTGTCCCATTATTTTTTAAAAATTTTAATTAGGTATATATGACAGCAGAATGCATTTTGATTCATTGTCCACAATTGCAGCACAACTTTACATTTCTATGGTTGTATACGAGGTAGTGCTGCACAATATGTGCAGTCATACATGTACCTAAGGTAATGAGGTCCATCTCATTCCACCATCTCTCCTGCCCCCATACTCCCTCCCCACCTCTCCCTCCCCTTTGCCCCATCAAAGTTCCTCCATTTTTCCCATGTCCCCCCGCATTATGAATCAGTATCCACTTATCACAGAGAACATTCGTCCCATTCTTAAGATAGCCTGAGCTCTGTTCTGAGAGCGTTTACCTTCGCCTTTCACTTTCTAGAAAGCTCTTCCTCTCTTTGCTAAAACCTGATGCATTCTTAAGTTCTCTTCTGTGATGTGGTCAAGAGTGGAGGTCTGAGTGGAGGTCTCCTGAGCTCCTGCAGACCTCCTCAGATCCCCTTGTGGTGACAGTCTGAGCTTTCTGACCCAGGGGCTGGAGAGAACCCTGGCTCTCCCCTAGCCAGGGACAAGGGCTCCTCAACTCTGTCTTTGAAATGCCTTCCACTTGAAACCTTTAATTAACAACCTTTATTTTTTTACTCCATGTTGATTATTTTGAAAATTTATTCTTGGTCAGATATAAGAATATGGACTTTCTTGTATTATTATATGAGTCAAGTGATAAATTCATTTTGGAATAAAAAAATATATAAATAAATTAGGGTCTAAAAAGTCTATAGGAGAAACAAAATTAGACAAAAATGATTTATTTATTTACTATGTATTAAACTGCTAATAAATGCCAAGAACTAAGGAATAAAATCATAAGTACAATAGACCCTGCCTGAGGAACTTGGGTTTAGTGGCATTTGATGACTATCTCTCCTTATGTTAACCCCAAGGTCCCCAAGACTTTCTCCTTCACCTTTGAAAACTGTTTGGGAATTTTACAAATACAAATTTTAGCAACATTAGAGAGGAAAAGAAAAAAAAAAAACCCTAAATCCATCTAAGCTTTTTCCTCCTAAAAATGTTAAACCACTTATGGGAGTTTGAAAAAAGATTTACAGGCTTTCTAAATTAAAATTATAAGACAGGTAACAAGATATTATCTAGTTAAGAATGTATTTTGCTTCTGGGAATATCTGTTCGTTCCTATGGTAACATTTAGTACTGAAAAAAAAAAAAAAAACACCAAAAACCTATGTACAATTTCGTGTTAGACAGAAATAACTTTGCCCTGTAGCCTGAAGTGTCAAAACCTATCCTGCCAGACTATGTATTTCCGATTCTCCTTATCTAAACAGGGAGGGAGGTGTGATTTTTCACACTTGCCAGGACTCTGTTTTCTCATCTTAAGCTTTAGAAAGGACCAAGAAGAATTTTAAATTGAAAATTAAGAATAAAAGGAGCATATTAGCAGAAGTGTTATGCAAGTCAAAAAAAATCTTAAGGTAAAATCTTTGGATTAGGCAAAGAGTTCTGCATTATGACACCAAAAGCATGACTCATAAAAGAAAAGTTGATAAGCTAGATGTCATCCAAATTTAAAATATTTACTCCATAAAGTCACAGTTGAGAGAATGAAAATATAACCCACAATTGGGAGAAAATATTTGCAAATCACCTGACAATTACTTATATCCAGAATATATACAAAACTCTCAAAACTCAATAATAAGAAAATAACACAATCAATAATGGCAAAAGATTTGAACAGAAGCTTTGTTACTGGAGTCCTAGATCAGAGGGAAATGGACTTCAAGATCTCAACAAATCAGGTCCAGCCACTCATCCCAGAAACAAAATGGAAAAAGTAACAGTGAAAGTCAGGAAAGGAATTTATTCAATATAGCTATATTGGGAAGACAAAGGGGATCAAGTGTCCTTAACCCTGTTTTCAGGGGTACTGACATGAACTCTCAAATTAAGTAGCAAAGTGGGACTAGAAGTACACATAGCCAAGCAGTCTTGGTGAAACTGTGGTCTGGTTGATCATTTTCTCAGGGCCAGCCAGGCAGAGCCTTGTTGGTAGCTATGAGAAATTTGCTGTTGCCTGGGGAGTAGTTGCAACTCATCCCAAGCTGTTTAACCACCAGACCTGTTGTTCCTGGAATCCAAGGTAACTGCAGGAAGGAATGATTCAGAGAAAAGGGCAGGTGGGAAAGCAAGATTTTGGTGTCAGTTCCTTCAGGTTAGGTGCCACTGGGTGATGTGGAAAAGGATATTGTAAAAGCTGGCATATGACAATCTGTTGATTATGATGTCCCTGCAGACCTTGAAAATAGCTTAGTTATTTTTCTTATCTTGTTGCCTTCTGCCTTTAAGGGAGAGGATTACCAGCTTTTCCCAAGGGTTAAGGTAGCAAAAGAGGCAAATGCAAAATGAAGGCAGAGATGTCAATCTTTTATCCTGTTTTAGTTACCCTTTGGACAGCTGCAGGCCCAAGTGAAGATTCAGTACTTTTAGCAAAAGCAGCCTCTAAGGCCTTGTTACAGCTTCACCAAAAAGAAGATATACAAATCGAAAATAAGCACATGAAACGAGATTTAATGTCATTAGTCATGATGGAACTGCAAATTAAAACCACAGTGAGATACCACAATACAAGCAACCAGAATGACTAAAACTTTTATTAATTACCAGTTTTTGGCAGGGTGGCAAGAATATGAAGCAGCTGGAATTCTCATATACTGTTAGTGGGAATGAAAAATAGTAGAGCCACTTTGCAAAACAGTTCAGCAGTTTCTCGTGAAGTTAAATATATACCTACAATATGTCAGAGCAAAATCCTGCATGATGTGAATATTTATAGCAGCTTTGTTCTTAATCACTAAAAGCTAGAAACAACTGAAATGTTCTTCCCTGGTGAATGAATAAACCTGTATCTCTATAACATGTGACAATATTCAGGAATATAAAGAACTGTTGACACATCCAACAACATGGATGAAACCCAAATGGTTCGTGCTAAGTAACAGAAGTCATACTCAATGTCTGCTTAGGATATAATTTCATTAACATGATTTTCGGGAAAAGACAAAACTGTGAGGACAGAGAACAGATCAGTTTGTCAGCTGTTTGGGATGCGAGAGGAACTGACTAGAAAGAAGAGCATAAGGAAATCTGGTGGGTGATAAAACCATTCTGTAGCTTGACTGTGGTGGGAATTAAATAACTCCATGTGTTTGTCCAAATAGAACTATGTACCAGAAAAAGTGAATTTTACTGCACGTTAAATTAAAAAAATGAAGAAGGCAAAGCAGTTTCAACACAAAAATGTTTTCCTCCTAATCTACTCAGGATCAAGAGTTTAAAAAACAAGTTTAAAAATTTTATATAGGAAAGGGAAATAGCAAAACCAATCTGCTGGTCAAACTCACAGGACACACTGAGCATGTAAATCTGACCTTAAAGTACTTGTTGTTCTGTGTTATTTCTTTGTTTATGTATTTGCATATTGGGCATCCTTCATCACAGGATCAATTAAACAAACACTATTTTCTTATTTTCTGTGTTCTTGATGCCCTGCATATGTGGCCTCAGTGATTGGCCAGAGACTGTCCCTGCCATGGCTAACCCACAACCCAGAGATGGCCAAGGATTCAGCAGGGAATATGCTTTTCATATGCAAACCAGCCAATCCCCATCCAAATCCCCATCCACATTTATCAAACTCATATGCACAGACGTTATTTCCCCCACCCTGAAACCAGCCCAGAGCCAGGTACCAGATAACCAGAGACTACTTGTGTAGCCCAGAGGAATTATTCAAACTAGCCAATCATAAGCTGTTTCCCCTGGCCTGCCTGGCCTTTCCTGCAGAAAGGCTTTGGCCTGGGTTTCCCCCTTGCTTCCGCTTCTGCCTCCTGACAGTGCCTCCCCTGTGACCTATGCAGCATTGTGATGATCCCTTCCCTGGAACTCTCGAGTGTAACAAACTTCTTTCCAAGCCTCTGCATTCCCTTCTCTGGATCCAAGAACTTTAGGATAACACGTACCACTTGCACATTCTTGGAACAGTTGTTATACATTAAGCATGCCTTTTTTTGTTTCCTTTTCTGTATATATTTATGTTCTTACCCATTACTTGCTTAAAGCTGTTCCTGCAGAAGATGTTGGCTCTTTCCATTACAAACGTAAACATTTCCTGTTTTCTGCCACAGACTTTTTTTTTTAAGAAACCAATTTTCATGTCCATGATAACCTGCCTTTTTGTGAGACTGCCTTAATGACTTCACATAACAGTTTGGCAAGGCAGCTGCAAGTCTAGCTGTTTCAGAATGACCAGCAATAGGCGCTCGGAAACCCTCACTACATTCAAATACTCTGTCTTCCTTGACCACAATTTTATCCCTGTGCCAGGAGATCCGTATGCCAACTATGCATAATGAACTTATTTCCCCTTCAATTTATAAAAATATAATTATTATCTAACTAGAAATGAACAGGGAGATATGATAATAAGAGAGGCTGAAGGCTACAAAAGTACTAATATCACAACCACATTTTAAAAACAAAGTAAGGAAGACAGCTGTGCTAAGAGCCAAGTATATATCTGTCATTTAAAAGGCAAAATGTGTTTTGAAATTTGTTTCAAACTTGGTAACCTAAGACTCTGGATTCCATGGAGCATCAGACTTACCTGGGGAGAGCAAGGTTTGTGTGGGTCAAATGCAGCCTACAAGGCAAACTTGTACCTAGCAAATGTGCCCAGGGTTCAGGTGGCAGAGAGCTCTCTGAATAGTTGATTTTAAGTTTCAAATCAAAAGTAGACTAGGTAGGGAATCAACATAACTACCGGAAATAGCTAAAGACATAATATTGAGATAATGTAGATGTCCTGTCCCTCCTCAGAGTAGATGCACCATATGAAAAGCAGGACATAAATCACATAGGGGATCTGTATATACATGGTCACTCAGAGGCATGTTTTATGTACAACCAGGGCAATACATAGGACATTGAGCAACTGATCAGTTAAAACAGAGTGGCAAGAAACATTTGATTAGTCTTCAATACTGAAGGGTAAAAAAGCTCATGAGGACTGTGACAGGTCATTTGCTTCTTGTTAGTTGTCATCTCTTCCCAAATATCAATCATTACTCAATTCAGGAAAATTGAGTAAGAAACTCACAGCTTGTTTGATTTCCCTTAAACACTCAAGCTTTTTTTTTTGAGGGGGGGTACTGGGAATTGAATCTAGGGTAGCTTTACCATTGAGCTACATCTCCAGCCCTTTTTATTTTTTACTTTTGAAATAGATCTCACTAAATTGCTTAGGGCCTTGAGAAGTCATTGAGGCTGGTTTCAAACTTGTGATCCTTCTGCCGCAGCCTTCCCATCCACAGGGATCACATGCATGTGCCACCACACCCAACTCAAAACTGTTGTTTTGATTTTGTATTACCACAGCTTAGTTTGTCCTATCCTTGAACTTTACATAAAAGGAATCATGAAGAATATGCTCTTTAGCATATAGTTTCTTTATCTCAAGAGAAATTTTTATAGCCTCTTTAGGAAGCATTTTATTGTTGATTCATGTTTAAGAATTTTCACCGATGATAGAAAATCAACACTTAAGATACTCTCCTACACAGCCAGGTTCAGCTTCTGAATCTTGGTTTATGCACACATATCAATATATTTCTCTCCAATACAATCATTCCATCCATGATTACTGGATCAGATTTAACCTCCAATTTTAATACTTGGCTTTAACTTAGCTCTTCAGGACTATCTTTAATTCAGAGAGCACAGCTTTATCTAAAAGAGACACAGTGGTCATGGGCAAGGTACTTCTCCATGGTGCACACTCACAATGGTAGAAAAGGCAACAATGATGCCATGGATACTGAGTATTCTCAGCAAGCAGGTTGGATGTGATGGAGGAAGTCTCTTTTGCTGCCATATCATTTAGGCTTTTCATTTTGATGGAATTGTTAACACAGGAATTCAGAATAGAAGCAACCACTTTGGGTTCTCAAGAGAATATTATTGAGCTGCTTCCATGTTATTACATGTATTAGAACTTTACTGCTGTTTTTTTTAGGTTTATTATTTTTTTATAAATTTTAAACTTTATTTTAATTAGTTATACATGAAAATAGAATGCATTTATACACTTTGATATATCATAAATAAAGTATACTTTCTTATTTTTTTGATTGTACATGTAAGCAGAATCACATCAGTCATGCAATCATATATGTATATAAGGTAATACCATCCGTTTCACTCTATTATCCTTCCTATCCCCATATCCCCTCCTCTCCTTTCACTCCCCTCTATCTAATTTGAAGTAACTATATTCTTCCCTAAAGCCTCCACCATTGTGAATTAGCATCCACATATCATATTTGGCTTTTGGTGAGAGCCTACAGATTGTGAGAAAAACTTTATCACATGAACCTTAGATAAATCATTAATCTCTAGGATATATAAAGAACTCAAAAAACTTAACACCAAAAAAAATCAAATAACTCAATCAATATATGGGCTAAGGAACTGAACAGATACTTCACAGAAGATGAAATGCAATTGATCAACAAATATATGACAAAATATTCAACATCTCTAACAATTAGAGAAATATAAATCAAAAAATACCCTAAGATTTCATTTCACTCCAGTAAGAATGTCAATCATCAAGAATACAGGCAACAATAAATTTTGGTTAAGATGTGTGGAAAATGGCACACTCATACAATACTGGTGGGACTGCAAATTGGTGCAACCACTATGGAAAGCAGTATGGAGATTTCTCAGAAAACTTGGAATGGAACCACCATTTGATCCAGCTATCCCACTTCTCAGTTTATACCCAAAGGATTTAAAATCAGCATACTACAGTGATGCGGCCATGTCAACATTTATAGCAGCTCACTTCACTGTTTTTTATTGCTTAATGTTATTCCTTTATAGAAGCATGCCACAGTTTCTTCATCCATTTACCTGTCAATAGACATTCTTTTACATATTTTTTTGGTAGACATACATTTTCATTTCTCAGCTGGGTCACAGTTTAAGTCTATGTTTACTTTATAAGAAACTACTAATTATTTCCAACGTGGTTATACCATGTCTTACAACTTTTGTTGGCTGAAAAGTATTTCACTGATTAGGTAGAATAAATTAACTTAACTAGTTGTCAATAATTAAGTTCTTCCCAGTCTTTAGCTATTAAAAACAACTTCACCTAGGAATGGTGGTGCACATTTATAATCCCAGAGACCTGGGAGGTTGAGGCAAGAGGATCTCAAGTTCAAGGCCAGCCTTGAACTGCAACTTAGACCTTGTCTCAAAATAAAATATAAAAAGGTCTGGGGACAGAGCCCAGCAGTAGAGTACCTCTGGGTTAAATCCCCATGTTATGGTTTAGATATAAGGTGTCCCCTAAAAAATTATGTATAAGACAATGCAAGAAAGTTTACAGGTGAAATTATTGGGTTATGATAGCCTTAATTTAATCAGTGTATTAATCCCCTGATAGAGATTAACTAGGAGATGACTGTAGATAGCTCCTCCAGGTATACCCTGCCTGCCCATAGTCACCTACCTGCCCACAGATAGGACCTTCACCAGGCATACTCTACCTATCTAGTCACCTACCTGCCCACAGATAGGACTTCCTCCAGGCATACCCTACCTTCCCACAGTCACCACTCAGTTAATCCTACCAAGGGATTAATACCTCATAACCCAATCATTCCAACCATAAACTTTCTTGATTGTCTCACACATGAACTTTTGTGGGACACCCCATTATCTAAACCAGAATATATCTGTAGAATAATTCTTATAGACAGTTCAAAGAACATTTACATTTAAATTTTCTATAAATGCTGATAATTAGTCCTTCATATTGGTTGTTACCAACTATATTCCTACCAGCTAAGCATGAGAGTGATTGTTTCCACTGTTTACCAAACTTATGCATACAATTTTGAATCTTTTTTAAAAATTTTGTTGGTTTTTCACTGTACAGATTCTTATGTCACCCCCATGCTTTAGAGTCACATTTTCTTTCAAGTTTACCCTTTATCTTCCTCCTCTATTATCTTTCCTCAGTTATATACCACTCCCAGATCAACATAACTCTAGTACACCATTTCACCATCTTACTCCCCAATTAGAAAACCTTTGCTAGACCCTCATTGTCTACTGAATAAAAACCAGACCCTTTATCCTCCTGCTGAAGATACTATTTCATGTTTCCTTCCTTTTCTTCCAAAATACTATTTTCTGTGTGCTCCAACAAAACTGGGGATTCCCATAGACTTCATAAGAAGTATGTGCTTCTTGCCCTGTGCCTTATGTGCTTCTTGCCCTGTGCCTTTGTGCAGGCTGTTCCTGGCCTGGGATGCCCTCCTCTCCCTCTGTACCTCTTGAGTCCCACCTTTCTTAGCAGCCCAGTTCAAATGCCCCTGAGAGATAGAGACAAGGTGAGAAGTCAAGCTTACCGGCACTTTCATCTTAAATTCATCTTGATAGTATTTAATGCCAATGTCAGTGAATGTTCTCTGGATAAGGCAAGATGGACGAAGGATGAATATGAGCTGTAAGTTTCCAGGAAATGCCACCTGCAAGCATCATGACAAGTGTTAGGGTAGAGAGAAAATGTCACATCCATTACCAAGATCTACTTTAGTCTTCTCCTGCCCAAGATCACAGAAGAAAAAGTTAAATTGGAGGCCATGGATGTCAAAGAATTAGAATAAATCTCAGAGAATTTCAGAATCAAAAGAGCCCTAAAGGTCAGGTAACCCAAACTACTCTTTAAAAAATAAAGCAAATCAAACCAATGAGCAAAAAAATATTCTTATTATAAAAATAATTCCTACTATTTATATAAAAATTGGGAAATAGAATTACATTAGAAAAACAAAACCACCCATGGTGTCACAGCCATATTTAATATTTTAATTTATATAATTATAGTCTATTTGTTTGTTAAATTGTCTATATCATAGTTAGACTTACACCACAGTTACTATGTAACTTGCCTTTCCACTTAATATACTATGAGCTTTTATTCCTGTTATTTAAAGAAGTCTTTGGAAATATTTTTATGGGTGCATGATTTATCTAATCAATACCTTTTTGCTAATTGTTTAAGATTTTTTATATTTTTATTATTATAAATAAAACCCAAATGAACATCTTTATACATACTTTGGAACATTTTCTTAGGATAGATTCCTATAAGAATTACTGAGCCAAAGAACTAGCATTTTAAGGGTTCTTGGTAGGACCCTTTGTTTTGTCTGTGGCCTCAGAAGCTAGATCTCTGGAATAGTCATGGGCATCAACAATGATGGTAGTTATCTCACAGATAAGGCCTGTAGAAAAACTAAAGGGACAAAATAATTAATGTACCAAGGGAAGGCAGTACTCCCTTCTCCATCTTTGAAACACAAGCTCCTAGACAGGACAGCCTTGCATTTTGTTGTATCATGTTAGGATAAATCAGCTGAGGCAAAATGTGGGTATCTGGATGAGGTTCTAAAGCAATCTGAGAAGACTCTATGTGGGTACACGTCTGTATGTATGAATGCTTCTGTATGAGGGTGTATGCAAGGCTTCAACTGTCCTTCTCCCATCCTAATTCCAGCACTCACATTAACACCCTGACATTTTGCACCCTCTTTAGTCAGGCTTCACTGTCCTTATGAGCCTGGGCTAGGGTAAAAGAACTGGTGTAAGTGGCCCTGAGACCACATGGCTGGGTTCACAGGTCTGAGGTTCCAACAGAGAAAAGATGCATCTACTTGCTCAAAGACAACAGTGGTTAAAACTGACTAATAAGGAAAAGGAAGCCCATCCAAAATTGTTCAATTTAATGCCAAATGCAAACATCCCTTAAACAAATGTATCTAAATACCATTTTGTCTGGTTTTGCCACTGTTTTTCTACTTTGTGAAAAAGTAATTTGAATAGTAAGATGAAGACTGTCTTAAATCAGGTATCCCCCAAAGCAAACAATCAGACAAAGGATTTGGGTACATCTGGAAGCACAGATGAGGGAGTAGGGAGGTAGACAGCAATGCATAGACAATGCATAAATGATGGGGTTACTTTTATAGGTAAGGGAGGCTGAGAGCCTCTGAGATTTTGTTTGCAACACAGCTCAGAATTGTTCCAAAGAGAGATATGGAAGCTGGTGTTTACCTATCAACTCCTGTAACTCAATGGTTATCCTGTTAACTTCCCAGCCCTCCCTGCCTTCCCTTCTTCAGTAAGTAGAGAAGTCAATAAGGCAGAAAGACTCAGGGGAGTCTTTGTGATGCTCAGGAATTGTCTGTGGGAGACCTTCCATGATGCAATAGCACCTGTTACAAAGACCTTCTCAAAATTTGACATAAAATAATTGCTTTTTCCCCATAACTTTGATATGAAATATTTGAAAAGACTATTTAAATGACTTTAACTATCATAGCACAAAAATAAGTATTTACTGCTATTCGTGTCAAGGATGCCTTTATGGAGCTCCACTTGTCCCTTCTTCTGTCAATCACAATGACGAATCCAATGCTGGCAGCCTCCACACTGCAAAAAAGCAAGGTCAGTGTTAGGAGAGAACTAAGGATTTGGTATGGCTCCCACAGCAGAACACATCCTGCCCAGCTCAGGCAAGTAACTAGGTCTGATCTTCCCACCAAAGAAGCCAACTCCCTCTCCCAGTCTGAGCCTAAGCCCCAACAGAGCAAGTACTTTGTTTCTCAGACCCTTTATAGGACTCAGATTCTGGCTGGCAAATCCATGCAACATCAACAGAGGACATGTGCTCATGTCTGGAGGAAGAGGCATGTGTCAGTTGAGAATCGTGTGTCCCTAGCATAGCAGAGGACATCAAGGTTGAGCTCCGCCCTCTTTCTTTCCTCAAGTGGATATTAAGGGAGATATCAAAATCCTTCTCCAGGAGTCAGTCCTATAGGTATTCAGAAATAATACATGCCAGTGGGAACACAACCCCCTTCCAGTGTGTGGCCATATAGAAGCCATATAGAAGCCCTCCCTGCCCATCCTTAAGCCTGCACAAAATTCTCACAAGGTCCACAAAATAAAAAACATTTACTTTGTCTCCTTTGGGATAGAGTGTAGTATAGAGGAAAGAACAAGGACTTTAAAGCCTGGATTAAACCCTATTGCTATTACTTCCTAGCACTGAAACTGACATCTAATCTTTCTAACATGTGGTATCCTTCTCTGTAAAATTAGAATAATATCACCAATAAAGCAGTTGTTAAAAGCACAAATTCTGAAGTCAACCTGACTAGATGAAAATTTCTGAATTCTAGTGTATGTGTGTGTTTATATATATCTCCATATATTCTCCCTTGGGAGGGAAGGAGTTACTTAACCCCTCTGGTTTCCGAGACATTTTATTTTTAAAGCAGGATTAATAAAACAGTGCCTATTTATAATATTCATGTGAGAGTTAAAAGAGCATGTAAATGTATAAACATATTACTATATAAGTGATGACTATTATTTCTATGTGATTATTATGGAGATTAAAAGAAATGTAGGACATGAAAAATAGTTGGCCCACAGTAACCCTTCAATAGCTTTCTAAATTGGAAAAAAGGTAGGCTTTATCCTAAAAAGTACCTGTAGGTGAATTAGGTAGAAGAGCTAAGCAAAATCTGAAAGAAAATATAAGTAGCTCATCTGAATTAAGCATCACTGGGTTGACCCATTATTGTAGGCTCATATTGACAAATGCAAGGAAGCAAGGAAAAGTGACTAAAAAAATCAACTGATAAAATACTCTGTAGATTTAGGCTAAGAGATGTTCCCATTGTTGGCAGACAGAAACTTTGGAGTAACTATGATCCATATGTTAAAAAAAAAAAAAAACAGAGGAAAAGGTAGATAAATGATGTATTGTTCCAATAGAGAATTAGAATCTATAATAAAAAATAAATGAACATTCTAAGATTACAAAACACCAATATCTGAAATTAAGAACTTGTTGGATTTGTTTAATAGCAGACTGAATACAGCAGAGGACAGGATAGTGGAAATGGAAACACACCAGTTGAAAATAATCAAAGTAAAGAATAGAGAGAAGGGGAAATAGAATAGGATGTAAGAGATATGTGGGATGTGAACAAAAGTCCCAGAAGTAGAAGAGAAAGAATGTGTTGCAGAAACAAATTTTTCAAAAATGGTTAAGAATTTTCCAAAACCTGAGAAGACATCAACTCACAGATTTAAGTGGTTCTCCCACTTCCACATAGAATAAAGCAAGGAAAAGCCTGCTTTAATGAAAATGAAAGATCAGGAGAAAATCTTTAAAAAGTGAAAAAAGACTCATGACATTCAAAAGAACAAAATTAAAAAAAAATAATCACTGACTTTGCAACAGAAACCATGGAAGCTGCAATCCAGTGGAATATGATCTAAGAGAACTTACCTGGAATTACTGAGAATTCTACACCCACTGAAAATTCATTCAAAATATTGAGGTGAAATAAAGATATTTCCAAGCAACTAGAGCTGACAGAATTTATCATTATTAGTCTCATACTTCAAGAAATACTAAAGGGTATTCTCCAGGCTGAGTGAAGTTGGAAGCATAGAGATGAAAGAAAAATAAACAGCTTGAAAAGGATAAATTTCTGGGTAAGGAGGTTTAGTTACGGGTCAGGAAGACTTTCATTCCTGTGAAAAGCAGCACTGGTTATATTAAAAACCCATATTTTTCCTTATATATGAGAGAACTCTGAAGACAAAAGAATTTAATAAATGAAGAATTTCTAGAGAAGGGTTAGACTTCCCATAGTAAGCAACTTCTAGAGCAGACTTTCCCACCAAGTGGTGGGTTACCTATTCTGAACAGACAAGCAAATGGATGAACCTGAAAAAAGATAATCCCACCTGGTAGTCTGACTCTGAAAAAAATCAATGAAGACACTGCAGATACTAAGCATGTGGATAAATATTATCAACTATGTGTCTTATTTCACTAAAGACTACTGACCACTCAAAGAAAAAAATAACAAGGTGAAATAAAATTGCCTATGTGAAATAAAATTTCTCAAAACAGCATTCAGTATGAGATGGAGTAAATAGAATTTTACTATAGAAATTAAAGTTGATTGAGATGGAATTATACTATTTATGTTGTATATAAAGTAATGTAAAATTAATACAGGGTAGATTGTATTAATTTAAGGGCACACACTGTCAGATTAGAGAAATCATTGCTAAAGACTCAATAGAGGAGATAAATGGAATACTGAAAATATTTGAGGGGTGGGAGTTTAGCTCAGCAGTATAGCACTTGCTTAGTATGCCTGAGGCCCTGGATTTGATTCCTGGCACTGAAAAAGAAAAGAGAGAGACAGAGGGGAAGAGAGGATGAAATAAAAAGAAATTTGAGCAATTCAGAAGTCATTACAAAAGGAGAAATAAAAGGACCAGCCACAGATGACATAAATAGCAAGACAGTAGATTTAAACCTAACCATTTTAATAATCACAGTAAGGGGAAATAGTTGATATCACTTCATTTAAAAGGCAAATACTGACAGAGTAAATATATTGGTTATAAGAGATACACTTTAAACTTAAGGATGGAGATAGATTGAAAGAAAATGATAGCAAAAGTTATACCATGCAAACAACAATCATAAGGTGGCCAGTTTGTCTATAATAAACAGAAGAAAAAGTTGTGTTCAAAACGAGGAGTATTGGCAGAGATAAACAATTAATTCATAAAGAACCAACTTATCAAGAAGATGTAGAAATTCTAAATGTGCATAAATGCAGTAACATTGCTTCAAAGCACACTAATCAAAAATAAAATTTAGTGGTGTGGGGGGTGGCCCTGGAGTAGGGGCCATGGCAGTATGAGGGGACCTGGCTGCAGTAGCTGATGAGAAACTACTAACGTTCCTGTGGAACATAATGGATTGAGAAGAGAAAACCTATGGTAGCTGTGAAAGCCCTGATACCATGTATGTCAAATTGATATCTTCTAATGGTCATGAATTTATTGTAAAAAAAAGAACATGCACGAACATCAGGAACAATAAAAGCCATGTTGAGTGGCCCAGATCACTTTACCGAAAATGAAACTAATGAGGTCAATTTTAAAGTGATCCCCTTCACACGTGCTATCAAAAGTAAACATGTATTTTACCTACAAGGTTCACTACACTAACAGTTTAACCGAGATTCCCGAATTCCCAATTGCATCTTAAATTATGTCTTTGAACTTCCTAGATTGTTAAATAAAACAAATTATAATTAACTGTTAAATTTTTTCACAGTATTTAAGACCTATATTCAGTTAGTAATTTTTTCATATATAGCATGTTGCCTGTATGCAATTGAACTACAAATTGAATTACAAAGCAGATTTTCTTCTGTTCTTCGACATAGCAATCAAAGTTAAAAATTGTTTCCTACATCAACAAATTAAGGACATTTCCACAAACTGAGAAATAAACATTTGTGCCAATTTTTAGGTGGTTTTACTTATCCTTTGGATGGTGACTTTAAAAATTAGAACAATGATGATACAATAAATACTGAAATATAGGCATAAACGAACATGTTCTACAGGTAAATAACGGGGCTATGTATTTTTTTTTTTTAAACATCTGATCTATAGCCACTGATAGTATTACTAGAGTTGTGCAAATAATTACATAATAAACATGTTTATAACTTAGCCAAAAGTTGACTTTTTAATTCATTCTCATTTGTTATACACGATGGCGAATGCAATTCATTTCATATTACATATATAGAGCACAATCTTTCAAGTAACTGATACTACACAAAGTATTTTCACACCATTCATGTCTTTATATATGTACTTAGGGTAATGAGGTCTAACTCATTCCACTATCATTCCTACCCATTTACCCTCTCCTTTCCCCTCCTTCCCCTTTGCCCTATCTAAAATTCCTCCATTCCTCCCACGCTCCCCATCAATCGCCATTATGAGTCAGCAACCTCATATCAAAGAAAACATTCGGCCTTTGGTTTTGGGGGATTGGCTTGCTTCACTTAGCATTATATTCTCCAGCTTCATCCATTTACCTTAAGATGCCATTATTTTATTCTCTTTTCATGCTGAGTAATGTTCCATAGTGTATATATATCAAAGTTTCCCTATCCATTCATCTACTGAAGGGCATCTAGGTTGGTTCCACAGTTGGCTATTTCGAATTGTGCTGCTACAAACATTGATGTGGCTGTGTCCCTGTAGTATACTGTTTTTAAGTCCTTTGGGTATGGACCGAGTAGAGGGATAGATGGGTCAAATGGTGGTCCCAGTTTTCCAAGGAATCTCCATACTGCTTTCCAGATTGGCTACACCAATTTGCAGTCCCACCAGCAATGTATGAGAGTGCCTTTTTCCCCCACATCCTCACCAACACTTATTGTTGTTTGTATTCTTGATAGTTGCCATTCTGACTGGAGTGAGATGAAATCCTAGAGTAGTTTTGATTTGCATTTCTCTAATTGCTAGAGATGTTGAATACTTTTTCATATATTTGTTGATTGATTGTATATCCTCTTCTGAGA